CTCTCTCTCTCTCTCTCTCTCTCTCTCTCTCTCTCTCTCCCGTCTTCTGTTCTCTCTTCCCCGCTTCCTTCTCTCTTCCCCACCCTTCTCTTTCTCTTGCTCCCGCCCGGCCCCTACCTTCTCTTTCCCCTGCCACTCCCCCTTTTGCTCCCGCCGAGAGCAACCCCACTTCACCCACCTTATTCACTCCTATAGCGAGTACGACAAGCTATCCCATAACACGTCGGCGCCTTCCCAGCATGCATCGTGCACGTCCTTCATCCTGGTGGAAGCATTGCACAGGCCCGTGCATTTCCAATCATAGAGGGCCACACAGGACCCCATTAGCTTGGATGGGCACGCCACGGCAGTGTCACCCGTATTACAACACAGTGTTCCTTGATTGATGTGCTCTACGTTGAGAGCGAGCATCCAGGATCCGACGGTGACGTCCTCGTTGGCATACAAGTGCAGCAGGGGTGCGTTTGCGGCTATGTACTCGACCAATTGTTTGGATAAGCCGTAGATTTGGCCCGCGGCATGACTAAAATAGCGCGCGTGTTTCCCGCCAAATTTCCAGATCTCCTTCTCGCCATACTTGGAGTCGTTCCGCAGAACCCAACCGGACTTGAAGCAGCCGAAATAGACACGGGGCTTGCGCTGGAACAAGCGAAGGAAGTGAACCATCGTGCCCAAATTTACGTAGACGTCATCGTCAACCTTGACGTAGAAGTCTGCATCCCATAACCGAAAAGCCGTGGAGAAAAATCGAAGGGTTTTAGCAGACAAGTTATGGTAGTCTTCCACGTGGTCGAGGATGAGAAAGTCATCGTACAGCTGGCGTTCTTTGACAATGGCTCGCTCAAGCTCGTCCTCCTCGCCGTGCTGGTCGCTGCCGTGCCCGTCGCTGCCGCCGCCATCGCCAGGACGAGCACCATCAACATGAACACTATCGTCGTTCTTGTTCGCTGAGCCGCCACCACCATAGCCGGCGCCATAGCCGGCATCGCCGCCGCCGGCGCCATAGCCGGCGCCAGTACCAGCGCTAGTACCGCCATCGCCGCCATAGCCAGAAGCTTGAGAGCTACGAGGTTGACGAGGACGACTTCGTCCGATGACGAAGCGGACGACCAGTCCCTTGAGATCGAGCTCCTTGACAGAACGACCTGCTGGCCACCAAGTCTGCCGAATAGCGCGCCTTCTGTCGGCACTTTCATAACCTGTGTTGATGCCAATGACCACGAGGGCACTGAGCCTGCTTTCTCTACTACCTGTTAAAGGGGGGTTGCCCGTCAGGGTGGTGGTGGTAATTAACAAAGCGGGATCGGGATCGGGATCGCCGACCTCTCGGCCAGCTGGCGTTGACGTCATCGTCCACGAGGGATGACCAATGCTGTCGCGCCCGAGAGGGGAAGAGCTTGTCCTCTGCTGCAACGCCGAAACAACTTCTTCTTCTCGATGGGAAGAGCTTGTCCACATCATTCTGTTGGCGATCCATCGTAAAGTGGTGGTGTATTCCCCCCCGCCGCCTCCTCCGCCTCCTCCGCCGCCTCCGCCGCTTCCGCCGCCTGTGCCACCTGAAGCAGCTGCCGTTGATCTGCTGCTGCTGTTCTCGCAGATAACGATATTTGATATATCCCAGGACCTTATTAGACAACAAACGCTGAAGAAGAAGGTGAGCACCAGCAACAGCAGCCTGGAGCGTTTGCCGACTGTGTCGCTATGCCATTGCCGTGTAGCCATCGCCAGCGTCATCGTCTTCGTCGCATCGCCTATGACAGTGATGGATGACATGCGCCTGCTCGTGGTTAACAGATAGTCCCCGACGCCATCGCCACACCGCAAAGTCAGACAGACGAATTCTATCAATCACGCAATGACCAGTGCATAAGTCTTCAGTGACACTCTCTCCCTGTGTGTGTGTGTGTGTAGAGGGTGTGCGCACGTGTTTGGCTGTGGGTGCACGCGTGTGTGTCGCACGTGTGTGTTGTCATGTTCGCTATACACAACTCCACAAAAAAGAAGCAAGACTGTGCCAGACTGTTTCGTCGCGACTTTCACCGACTCGTCAGGAAGCTGAAGAACCGGGACCGACAGTCTACCCAGGATCCATTTGACTGGTGGATAAGGACTCGCCACGTCACCCAAAGTCGATGCGCACGTGTATGTGTGAGATTGTGCACGTGTGAGTGAGTCTGTGTGCGTTTGCGTGCGTTGTCATGTTTCACACAGTTCCACAAAAAAAGCATTAGTGTGCCACAGAGAGAGAGAGAGCGAGACAGCGAGCGAGCGAGCGCGCGCGCGAGAGAGAGAGAGAGAGAAAGCGAGCGAGCGAGCGAGAGAGAGAGAGAGAGAGAACAAAGAGGAGGCGAAGAAGACAAGAGGTGTCAGAAGGCCGTGCTTGACCGAACGACGTGGCTAGGCGATGGGAAAAGTAGGGCACAAATTTTTTGGGGTGCTTACTTTTTCTATTGGGGAGAGGATGGAGGGGTTGGGGAGTGGGAGGTGGGTTTTGCTTGCTTGCTTGTTCGATTGCGGAGAAAGTAAGCACCCCGAACAAGCAAGCAAGCACCCACCTCCCACTCCCTAACCCCTCCATCCTCTCCCCAATCGAGGATGGAGGGGTTGGGGAGTGGGAGGTGGGTTTTGCTTCCTTGCTTGCTTGCTTGTTCGATTGCGGAGAACGAAAGCACCCCGAACAAGCAAGCAAGCACCCCGTTTTATTGGGGAGAGGATGGAGGGGTTGGGGAGAGGATAAAGGGATTGCGGAGAAGAAGAGAAGTATTTGTAGGTGTCAGGATATCAGATCGTGTTTCTTCGGCTCTTTGTTAGTTAGTTTTGCCCTTTTGGATATCCTCATCCCACGTGACGATGAGATGTCGCTGATGGTGTCATAAGTTATTGACACTTAGTAAATTACAGTAAATCAGGGACTATTAAAATAAGTAATTTCAAAACAATCATCCCTTTCTCGTATCGATCCTCCGCAAAAAGAGACATCCTTTTCTTTCTTTCCAACGGGGCTAGTCCCCTGGCTTCTTATTCTGTTCGTATGATTGCAATTGTGTCGGGATTCCAACTCATGTTCTGTTTCTTTTTCTTTCTTTCTTTCTTTCTTTCTTTCTTTCTTTCTTTTTTTTTTTTTTTTTTTTTTTTTTTTTTTTTTTTTTTTTTTTTTTTTCCCTTTTTTTTTCATGTTCTGTTTCTCGGAAGTGTTACCGTTCAGCCAATGATAGGCTACCAGCCCAAGCGAACGTCCCTTTTTTTTTTCTTTTTTCTTTTTTTGACGTATCATTCGTAATCGAAGTGATCAGCCGCACCAAAAGACCAACTACCACTCCTGCCTGCTACCTACCTTCTTCTCCCGAATACAACGTGCGGTCATTATAATTATAGCTGTATTTGAGGTATCTTTCGGTCTAAATACACAGCTATAATGACCGTCCGTTGTATTCGCCGGAAGAGGGTAGGAATGAAAACTACCCACCCAACTCATGGCAAGCTCATGGCAAGGGTTTGACGTTTAGGGTTTAGGGTTTAGGGTTTTTCATACACTACAGAATAGCCACCTTAGTATGGATAATATGGAAGCGCAGATGCCAAGAGACAAAGGACCACGTGGCAGAATCGGCCAAGAAGCATGAGAAGAAGTGGTATACATAATAGAAACGGAGTATAGGGTACGCTGGAAAAGGAGGCGGAAAAAAAAAGAAAACAATGTAGCAAATAAATGCAAAATAATAGAAAAAAAAAAACATTCTCAAAACAACACCTAGGAGAAGGCAATAGAGCCACATTACAGCAGCTGGACAGAATCCACTTTGCCCAATGGACGCATAATAACCGCACAGCCGCCAACACAGACACCAAGCACACCGGACGCAGAACACAGCCCACTGAATTAACGCTACGATCTGGATAAACGCTGCACTCTCCCACGTAACTCCCAAGAACAACAAGATTAAAAAAAAAATCACAAAAAGAAATTTCGGTAAAAGCACCCCCAACACAGATATAGAAATTTCGTATTCTGAACGAAAGTTCATATAAAAAATACATATATATCTTTTTTTTTTCATTAGTATTTGAATTTAACTTGAACTTGGGAGCTAATCTCTAATCTCCATCCCATATTGGGTCGAGCCAATAGCAGAGCACCAGCATCCATGTATGGTAGGCCATCGGAATAGGGGAAGGAATAGAAAGGACCCCACAGAACCGTAGATTCTGGGGCTAAGCACAGCAGAGGGGGGACCACCAGAACTACAATCAGCCCATATATAGCCAAAAAAAAAAGAAAAAAAAAAAAGGTAATACCTATAGCCGCCAGGAGCCTAGGGTTTAGGGTTCTTAGCAGACTGACATCAAGAGAGGCCGAACTAGCATTTGTACACCTTATGGCCAATCTGACAGCTAAGTAGCTGAGAAGAATATGCAGGGATCGGCCTCATGGGAGCGACAATAATGGAGGACTAGAGGTGTTTAGCTTTGTAAAACAGATCGAGCGTCGGTGCAGGATGCAAACCCTAATCCGAACTACTACTACAATCCGGACCAGATTCCGAACCAGAATCCCAACCAAAAGCGTGCCACTGAGTGCAGAAACAAGCTACCAGTTTGGGCGTTCCCCCTCTTCATGTCTCAGTACCATCTTGTGATAAGCGCTCCGTTTTTTTTTTTTTTTTTTTTTTTTTTTTTGCTTCGTAACGGAATGTCGTTGCGGGGCACACAAAAAAATAAAAAAAATTGACATTCCGTTACGACATAGGGGAACGGAATGAATGAACTTCGCAGCGACTTCTTTTTTCTTTTCATCTCAACTTTATCACGTCACTTTATTTGAATTTTGTAAATGTAAATTCAAAAACAAAATTCAAATAAATTCGAAACAAAACAAAAAAAAAAACGGTGAGGCGCACTACCCAACTCTCAGGATTGTGAGGTAGAAAGCCATGCTTGCAGGGGTCCCCTGTATAGCCTTAGGAGAAGTAGGAGGTAGCTATGCTTGCAGGAGTCCCCAACAAAAACTCCGCGTTAACCAGGACGCAGGGTATCATCACCGGGACTTTCGCGGACGTATCTGACCGCAATTTTACGGCTGGTTCGGGCAAAATAGTACACTACTCTTGAGAGAAAACCACACTAGAGAAGCAGAAATTTACACCACGAACTCATCGACTTCTGTGACAAGCGTCAACAGAAATAACCGCTAAATGATCGACTCTCGGGACGACCGTCTTTCCGGCGAGCTGGCCATTAGCCAGATTAAAAATAAAAAAGACTAGGGGACCTGTTGCGGCTACTCCCCATATAAAAAAAGGAATGTTTGCCAAGAAAAACAAAGAGGTTGATAGACTCTCTCTCTCTCTCTCTCTCTCTCTCTCTCTCTCTCTCTCTCTCTCTCTCTCTCTCTCTCTCTCTCTCTCTGTGTCTCTCTCTCTGT